AAAAATAGTCGAAAAACTGTGCCCATTAATTAGATGTGCAAGGCAAGCAGGTACGTTTTGGGGTTGCTATGGACAACTACAAATGTAAACATTATTAGGCTATAATGTAAATGACTTATTATTCTATCTATTTACTAAAAAAATTAAGTGAAACAGGCATTTAGTAGTAGGCTAAATAGCAGCATGTTGAAATGATGTGTCAATGCGTTTTCTATTAGGCTACAATAAAAAAGTTGTACAGTACAGTGCGTTTAATTTAGGCTATTTATTTATTTTTGTCCCTGTGCGCCGATTGGAGACGGAGTTCACTGCTGATATTCTGAGAGTTCGGGTGCTTCTCATTTCTTATTTGTGCATCCTCGTTTCCTTTCCTTGCTTTCTTTCCTCGTGTTTCCACCCCACCGGGATAACGTTACGAGGGAAGGACGCAAGAAAAAGACTGAAGGACCGAGGAATCGAATCAAGTGAAAAGACACGTCCTCCTATCTTTAGCGTAACTTCAAAGCGTCGTCAATTAATGACTTGCACGTTTGGATTAACTGCATGTCTACATTAAAGTCATTCTCTGTTCTATAATGATCAATAAAGAAACATTCATTTAATAAAAAAAGGAATAAGCCATTCAAATAAAGAGCCCAATCAGCAGATGGCGGGCGGGTGCGGTTTTAAAAATTGGTCAAAAATGTTACTGCGGATGGATGGCGGACGGATGATGAATTTTGTCATGCGGTTGCGGATGAAATAATAGCCCATCCGCGCATCTCTAGTGTGAATGATACAATGAATCACTTATTTGTTTAGTTCCTGAATTAATAAATGACTCATTCACTTGTTTAGTTCTTGGTTAAATCAACGTATTTCTAAGTAAATCTGATGAGTGAATGATTCACAGACGCACTCATTTGTTTACTTCATAAATGAATCAACTTTTTTTTCTCCAATAAATCTGCTGTGTGAATGATTCAATGACTTACTCACTTGCTTAGTTTGCAAATTAATCAGTTATTTTTGATTGAATGAACTAAGTGAATGATTCAATGACTCACTCTTTTTGATCCTGAATGAATCAGTGTCTGTGTGTGTGTGTGTGTGTGTGTGTGTTTTTTTTTTTTAAGCAAATCAGTTGAGCGAATACAGTAAAATATATATCAAGACCTTTCCTTATTCAGTTCAGAAAATACTAAATATAATGTATTTCTGTAATTATTAGCCTGGCTTTGGTTTTTTTTTTATATGTGTATTATTATTTCTGAAAATGTTTTTTTTTTTTTTTTTTTGGGATTTCAATAATTTAAAGAATAGAAATCAATTAAACGTGCTGCTTTACCTAGGCATGGGATGATAACCGTTTTCAAGTTATACCACGGTTTGAAAAAGTCAAGGTTTTAAAAACACCAAAATGTTCTGCTATACCGTTCCTAAAGTATCTGTAAGATTTTTTATTTACGTTTTTTAGGACAAAAGCATCTCCAGCAGAAAAGGTATCCAAAGATGCAGTTTTAAATTGTAAAGAAATCAGTGTTTTTGAAATTAATGAAGACAGCAGAAGTCAATGATTCATTTAAATTATTCAGCCTGACATGTTTACTGTTACTAAATAATGTAAATGTTTAATAAATTAAATATATTGTGTTCAAAGCAGAAAAAAAGTTTTACTTTTTTATCCAGACATTTAAAAAGAACTTATTTTAGAGCAGTGACCACAATACCATCAAACCGTGATTTTTTATCCAAGGTTATCATACCGTTAAAATCTTATACCGGTCCATTCCTAGCTTCAACACTGTAAAACTGCCACAAATACAATTAGATTTTAATTGCTGCAATATGCAGAATGGAAGTTCTGTTTTTAAGCAAATTAATAAATCCACTAGAAAATGACACAAATTATTGTAATTGTTAATGTACGACTAACAATTGACTATCTATTACACAAATTTGCTGGACATTTTTACACATTAAAATTCACGTGTCACAGACAAATCCAACAAAACCTGTGACTTCATAATTAGACCCAAGTACTATTGTTAGAAAAATCAGAGGATACCATTAACACAGTAATCCCCTCAGCCCAATCCATGTGTGTGACTCAGGGCCTCCTCAAAAGCAACATGAATGGGAAATTTTAATCCCACTCACAGCACTTCCTCTATCTACTATAGCAGTGCTTCAGTCCATCTGCTATCATATGCCTGCCCTAACACTCAAACCATCTCTGCCTGCTTGCACTTGAGAGATATGCGAAACGAAAAACATGCTTAAAAGCACGAAATCGCTAAAGCTTCCAATTTCCAAGAAGCAATATGTGAAGTGGCAGCAAATGACAAAATAAGAAACAGAATAATAGCAAGTTATTAGCAGTCAAATCACGTCTGGCCATTATCGCAGTGCTACAAAAAGGCTTTTTTCTAACTTGACTGACCCACAACAAATCCTAGCAGTGCCCACAGAGCTTTTTAAACCCAAAATACTCCAAGATTCTGAAATTTTACTGATTGTAGATACTAAATATGTCTGATATTCCAGTAATCTGGTGTTCCTATGTATATTGGGTTTGTAATTTTATTCACAATTCATTTAAACAGAGTTTCTCCACCAATCATTTAGGCGCCTGTTCACAGCACTGGACAGTAACATGATTCTACACAAAGCTTATCAAATATTAAGCAGCCAACACAAATTATTCATCATCTTTGTAAGGAGCCGGCTTCCAAAGACGCTGGCAGCAACTTCTCCCAAATGTTGCAGTCTCTCACCTACTTGAGATTTTAATGCTGTTCACTTCCTCTACACTGAAATACTAGATTTCTCCTGTGCTAGAGAACCATGATAACATCATGCATGCCTGGCACAGGTGCTGAGCTGAAACTTCTATAAACATGCATGATCTATTTTCACTGGGTGTGAGTTTTAAGGTGTGAGGCGTTCTCTTTTTACATTTGCCACTATAAAAGTTTTTAGTTTGAGTGCTAAAAATTGCATTGAAACTATGACATAATAATAATAAGGAAGATGACAGAACTTATTAATGCTTTATGTTGTTTGATAATATGGTCACACTTTACAGTAAGGTTTCATTAGTTATTGCTGGCTAATGTATTCACTAAACGTAACACTTTTGTTGATTGTCAGCATTTATTAATACATCGTCCAAAGTATAAAAGCCAACGTTTTGGGGGTTACAAAAACAATGAATGATTAATGTTAATTTGGGTAATAAATACTGTGATGAATGTATTGTAGCTCATTTGTTTCAGTAAATAAATTAACGTATATTAACTATTATTATGGAAACTATTATTATTATGATAAAGAGTTACCAATAATGCTAATAACTGGACAAAATCCTGTGGTAAGCAATACTTTTTAACAATTAGTGATATGCAGGTTACGCACTTTGACAATGCAGCTCTTGTCACTTCAGTAAATTTTCTGACTAACCTCACTCATACACGCTCATATGTAAGTTTGTGGTAGTATTGATAACATAAACTTTTAACTACAGTGACAAATGCAGTAATTACACATACACATACACACAAATTAGATTTAAACTTATCTAATATATTTAACTAATCTCAATAGAATAACTTTCGGTTTTGTAAATTGAACAATTTGTACATTTGGGAACTTGTCATGATGTAATCTACATTTTAAATAATAATATCTTCTTGTTAGATCAATATATCTTTAATATCTTTAATAATAATAATCTTCAAAATATCTTTATCTTATTAGGTTTTTCAATGTGCTGTCTACAGTTTTAACTTTAACACAAAATATGGTACAATATTGATGTACTGTATAATAATGAATGCAAACTCCATGTATATAAAAAGAACTTCATTATTCTCATACTAGAGTTTTATATGCAAAATGAAATTCAAGTTACATTAAAAGAATATTCTCTGCATATATTTCTGAAAAGTTGGTTTCTTTTTCGTAGCGTAAAGAACATTTTAATAGTGTAAAAAAAAACTGTTTTAGCAATAAAGAAAACTTCTGTGGATGTTAAGGTTTCTTTGTGAAACCATACTAATAAACCTTTGTTTTAAAGTGCATTTATAAACCAGAGATGATGGATCACGTGGAGCAGACCTTAGACAAGTTCCAAAAAACACCTTAAGATTACAGGGTGCCTATATGCATATATTGTATAGTTTAATCTGTAACAATAAAAGCACAAATCTAAAATTACTATTATACCAATGGTGTTCTAATTTACCTGACAAAAAAAAAAAATAAAGTAATGGCTTATATGTGTTCTAAAATCTAAAAGAAAATGCATGAAATGCTATATATATATATATATATATATATATATATATATATATATATATATATATATAAAATAGAAGAATTCAAAAATCTTAGAGGCCAAGTGTTTTGTGTCCTCCCTCCAGAAGAATCCTCCAAAAACTGTTTCACTTCTACAGTCCATCCAGCACAGGCTACCGTACATCTGCCGCAATAAACCGTACTGCATTAGCATTTATTTTTGTGAACGGGCGGTTATAATCGCATTCTGACACTAAAGTCTAGATTATGTGTCCCGTTAAAAACCATCTTCATAGCAGTGGATTGAACTCTCACTGTCCTGCTCCCTCCGCATATCCACTTAATTCCTTATTTGGATGTCAAGTGCAGGCGAAGTCAGAGCGCTTTTTCCTGCGAAACACAGATTAATCCCCCTCTCCTCTCCTTCGTGTGGCACCTTACAGTATAAACGCTGCTATTTCATTTCGCAGTTAACGAAGCCATAAATGTATCACAAGACTAGTGCTGAAGTGACAGAAACAGTAACCCACGTTGCCGCACTTCTGCACCGCACGTTTGTCTGCATTGGACGGCCGCTGCGGTTCATTACAATAAACCCTCAGGCAAATAATAGTGTACAGACGACAAGTAAACAAGCAAACTTTCCGGTTTAGCCTGATGTGAAATGTCACGGAGACGTGTAGATATATAGGGTGATGATATATGGGTTGTGTCATGCTTACCTTTCTGAGGAAGCAGTCCAGGTTTCCGTATTGATAACGCAGCACAATTGAGTGACGGTGACCGCACGCCGCTCGACCGTGCGCGGAGACTCTCATGCGTGCATCACTGGATCACTGATGAGGGGGTGGAGGACAGGACAGGACAGTAGCTACAGGGGCGTTCCGGAGGAGCTCTCAATTGATCAAACTTAGATTTTTAAGATCCATTTTAAATACATATTTAAACGATCGGTAATAATAGCAATAGCTATACATAATACATATTTAATTTTGTTAATATTTTAGTATTTCATCCTAAATTACAACAGCGCGATGCCTGGTTGTTTTTCTTCATATTCGACGTTTTGGAGTCTTAACTATTTTTTTAAAGTAACTTTTTACGAATTATTTTAATCTTGCATCCTCTTTTTAATTCGATGAAGCCCCCTAGTGGACATGACTTTCAACAAAAGCTTTGAATTGTCACTTGTAAAAGTGTACTTTGAGTTACCAGTTACCACCAATTTATACATACTGTATTAAGTTCCAATTAGTGCAATATAAAATTTATCTAGTAGAAATGAAACTCAATTGCAGATAATTTTTTTTTCGAGAACAACACTATACCGAATGTATTTAACGTTACTCGGGCCTGTTTTCATATCTAAAGTGGACTATTATTTTGCAGTGTTTGATCAAACTTTTTATTCAAATGAAATTCTGTGGACATTCAGATTCTCTGCAATCATGACATTTTCTAAGATTTAAATAAAACGAATTTAAAATATTTAAATTAAAAGTCATCCTTGCAAAAGTATTCAATATATAAAGTACAAAGCTTTCTTTTAATTAAGTACTGCTACAGTATATTCAAATAAATTGTAATATATATATATATATATATATATATATATATATATATATATATATATATATATATATATATATATATATATATATATATAATTTATAAAAAGCCAGTTTTTATAATCACAAAGTCTGCACATTCACAGATGCTCAAGGAACCACAATCCAACCAGAATCTAATGCAAGCTTTTAAACAGGATGATTTAAATTGGAGCCTTCAGTTGAATTCAAGATTGTTCTTATAAGATCTTATATCTTATTTATTATACACCTACACCCCTTATAAACAATACAATATTTAAAAAATTCTTTTTTAGAATATAAAAAGGATAACATTTCACATAAAATCATCCAGTGTAAAAGTTTACATGCCCATATTTTAATGCATTCTGTCTTTAGTGAATGTTTTCACCATTTGTATAACTTCAGTTCTATCAGTTGTAAAACGATGCATCTCAAATTCATGACAGACCAAAGTTTCTGGATGTTATAGTTCACGTTCACCCAAATTGAAATCAGGACAAACTTATGGTCACAATCCATTCATGGATTGAACTGAAAATCTATATCATATTTAACAGCTTCATCTGTGTAAATTAAACATGTCAAGTGTATTGTAAATTTCAATACCGAATTACCTAAATTAGTTTATTTACAACCTTTCCCATTCATTTGTTATTATTAATACATTGCAGATGATGTACTGTAGGCCTTTGTAAGCCAATGGCACATCTGCAAATGCAATATAGAGAAAAGGTAGCTAAACAAAACATTGCAATAGCATTAGAATGGATTATTTTTAATTATTTTATGACTTTTCATGGCTAAGACACCACAATTTAAAAAAAAATCTCCAATATTTACAGATTTCCCATGTGTAGTTATGAGAGCTGTGCAAAAACATTTTTAAAACATTTGTAAAACCTTCGTTTTAGTTCTGCATCTCATGTGTTGGGGAAAGTTACTTTAGAGAGTAATGCATTACATAATTGAGTTACTCCCCAAAAAAGTAACTAGTTGCAATACTTAATTACTTTTTTATGGTAAGTAATGCGTTATTTTCAGTAACTTTTGCATTACTTTTTTTGATCTAGCTGAAGCTTGATCTATTTCAGAACTTGCGGGGGGGGGGGGGGGGGGGGGGGGGTCTGCAATTAACAATGCACTATAATCTTTATTTACCTTTAAAAAAAAAAAACATAAAAAAATGAATTTACGATAATGTTCTCTTTAGAGAATTTACTGACCCCAGAGCTACACATGTCATTTATACAAATTACTGAAAGTTTAAAGTTTATATGTTGGCAAATTTTTTACTTTTTGTCTTACTAAAAAGTAAAATCACTGTTCATTCAGATAATCCTTTTTTCCTTTTCTTCCATGTGTTCAAAATAATGAGAATTTTCCATTGCAGAAATGTAAGGCTCTGCCATCTTGGTTTCTGTCTGTTTTCTCTCATTGTTTGCAGGATTCAATGTCACTGTTCATTTTAATTCAGCAATTTAGTTTTTAAAAGTGAATTAACTAAACTTAAAAAGTAACTTGCATTACATTTTTTAAAAAGTAACTTAATTAAAAAAGTAAGTTAATATTATTACTTAATTTACTTGAAGTAATTTGTTACTTTACTTATTATTTTAAAAAGTAATATGTAACTCGTTTCACATGTTATGCATTACCCCAACACTGGTTAAGAGCTGTAAATATGCATGCACATCTAAAAATACAGCAATGTTTTTAGTAATAGCCTATGTAATGTATGTAATATAAGTAACAAATGACTTATTGATGTTTAAAACAGTAACTTTTAACACGTTATCCTTTCTGAAAGCTTATAAAACATAGCTCATGCATAAATAGGCACGTTTGACAAGTAATTAAAGGGTCTCGAAACACCAAAACACATTTTTTTGAGCTGTTAACAGTCATACATGTGTCCCATGCTGCTAAAACACTATTAGGACACATATATTACACACAAAAGAAGTGAAAATAAGTTGTTTTTGCGTTACTTCGAGCAAATTCGTTCTTCCAGTTTGAAACAAATTTTTGAAGCTGCGTCATGCCGATAAGATCCTTGCGTGTATTCCAGTGTGTAGACTGGCTGTCTGTATCTGGGAGTACTTTGTGACGCCTCTGAGTGTTCTGCATTCATTCATGAGAAATACTTGGTTCAAACCAATCAGTGCGCTCTATTGTTTATGCGGTGCAACTTCATTAATTTGCATGATGGCTTCGAAGATGCCACATTGTGTTCCCAAAACAAGTGAGAGAAGAATAATTGTTTGGAGATACGAGTCGTCAGTGTTGCATTTTTAAATGAGCTGCAAGTAAGGTTTTGTTTTCATTTTCCCGCTATGGGAGCACAGCTGGACTCACTTGTGGATTACAGTGCACGCGGCGAAATACATTTGTACAGAACAATTTTTACTCGAGAGCTTTTTGAATCAGGAAATAATGAAATCTGGTTTTGCTGCTCATCTCCTTTAAAAAAAAACTTTTTTCCAAACTAGAGGCGTGGAAACAGCCTGCTGAAACAATTGAATTCTTGATATTTCAAATCCTGTTAAGCAATAAAAGTAAAAACGGCTTGGCAGAATTTTGTCTTTTATTGCATAACAGGATATGAATTCTTGATTTCAAGAATTAAATTGTTGATATCAAGAATCCGAACTGTTGAGATTAACAATTGTATTTCTGTGAATGGTGACATCATTGCTGATATCAGGAATTAACATTGTCAATAGTTGAAATGTAGTATTGATATCAACATTTACCATTTTGATATCAGGAACTGAATTGTTGATATCAAGAATACATATCCTGAGGATGATTAAAAGTCAAAATAGCTTGCCATAGGTACGAGCACTTACAAAAAGCCCTCGCTAGAGGTCAGTGTTTACAAACACACACGAGGATTGATTCTCAAGTACTGTTTTACATTTATTAAACGTGTAAAATGTTAGATTTGCTTGTAATATTTCAAAATGGAAAAGGTTGATTGTTAATGTTCATATTTATCAGTTCTCCACACAACACAATGACAAAAACACATAAAATATCTGCTTTCAAATTGCTTATTCTATAACATATTGTGAACAATTCCCTGATGATTCTCTGTTTTCCTTTTGATTTATTTGTAACATTTCTGTTTTTGCCCCTTCCTCTTCATTGATAGCTAGGGCACATTGTATGAGCACGCACACATATCAGTACTTTTCACACTGTGCATTCACACTCTTTATGCTATTAAATACACTGTTTCCGCTTCTTTGCTTCTCTTTGGGTGAGATATAGCTTAGCTATCAGAAAAAGTACATAAATAAATAGTGAAGAAAATTATGCAACTTCAAGTAGTTTGTGCTATAGCTATAATCAATCCACAAGAGGTTTAGTTGCAGAATGAAAAAAGAAAAAGCAAGTTATTAAGCTTGCCATTTGCTGTCACTAACACAACACTCAAAGAGCAAAAACCGATATATCACTTAAAATATATATAAATTAAGTTCATTGTGTCTAGATCGGTTCAAACGCTCAAAGAAGTCTTCAAAGAAGTCTTCGATTTGTTGAGACCAAAACTTAAAACATGCTGCATTCACAGGCAGATTTGAAAAGACAGCATCAAGATGTTTGCATAATATCCTGTTTGCTATCTGGCAGTATCATAGATGGGTTTTTCTGTCTATGATATCCCACAATCCCCTGCACATTCTGCAGTTGGTTAAAAGAATCTAAAGCAGTGCTCTTCAGAGACGCCTTCATACAAAACCTCTGTAAGATCCCTGACTGACAGCGCAGTGGAATCAAAGTCAGCATCTTTAGCTCCATCTTGAAGAGACTCGTCAAGAAAAAGTGCAGATTCACACAGAAGGAAAGCCAGACCTTCACCATGTCCGTCTGGGTACCGGCGGAGGTGGTATAGGTCTTTGTGCAGGATTCTGAGGAACAGGGCGGGATGGATTGGATACATAACGCTCGTTCAGTATCTCTGGGCTCCTAAGAGACAGTGGGTTCAAGTTCAGTTATTTTCAGAGACAAATCAGAAATGATCATTAGAATCAACTTCATGAACTATTATCCTTGAAATTTCAACAATAAATTAACCATTCGAGTATGCTGATCTGTTGCTTAAGAAACATTGGTTACTTATTGCTTAAAATTTTGTAAATACATTTGATTTATATATACGCACATACATACATACATACATACATACATACATACATACATACATACATATATATATACATTTGATTTATATATACGCACATACATACATACATATACATATATATATATATATATATATATATATATATATATACATATATATACATACATACACACACACACACACACACACACACACACACACACACACACACACACACACACACACAAACACTCATCGGCCAATTTATTAGGTACACCTTACTAATATCAGGTTGGACCACCTTTTGCCCTCAGAACTGCCTTACTTCTTTGAAACAAACAATAGATTCAACAATGTTCTGGAAATGTTCCTCAGAGATTTTGGTCCATATTGACATGATAGCATGATGCAGTTGCTGCAGATTTGTTCGGCACATCCATGATGTGAATCTCCTGTTCCACCACATCCCAAAGGGGCTCTATTGGATTGAGATCTGGTGATTGTGGAGGCCATTTGAGTACAGTGAGATGATTCGTGTTTTACTACATGATGCGTTTTCCTGCCGAAAGTAGCCATTAGGGCCCGGTTTTTCAAAAGGTTTCAAACCAGCCTGTCTGCCACCAACAATTATGCCATGTTCAAAGTCACTTAAATCACCTTTCTACCCCATTCTGATGTTCAGTTTGAACTGCAGCAGATCATCTTGATCATGTCTACATGCCTAAACGCATTGAGTTGCTGTCACTTGATTGGCTGATTAGAAATTTGAGGTAACAAGCAGTTTAACAGGTGTACATAATAAAGTGGCTAGTGAGTGTATATACATACATACATACATACATACATACATGCATACATGCACACACGCACACACGCACACACGCATACACGCACACATGCACACATGCATACATGCATACATACTTTTTTCTACAGCACTTTTTGTAAAATTCAATACAATTTTTACAATGTTTTAAGAAATGTAAAAGGTTGGCCAACCTTCCACTGTTTTAAAACTATTCAGAATTCAAGTCCAATTGCAATAAATAAAAAAGTGTAAACTACTTTGTAATATATAATTACAATTATTTAAATTATTTATTTATTTGGTCTTTTTTTAACATATTAGGGAGGCCACTTAAACCCATAAAAACACATTCTCTGTCAATGGCCCTTAAACTGCTTACTATCTTAAAAAATAAATTTAAAAAAAGCAGAATTGAATGTCACACTTTCATTTAGCCCCAATTTTTTACAACTCTTTTGCAGCTTTGTAAAGACTGCTAAAACACTGTAAATCTAGTTGAAGTGGAAGAGCACAACATCTTAAACATCTCCAAATTATCAGAGCGCTCATCAGTAAAGTGAGAATTAGCAAAGGATACGTGTAGCCACATCAAACTGCAGATGTTTTTCAGCCGATGCAGCGCTGATCATCTGGTGTTTGCTTTTATGCATATTAGTGTACTAAGGATGTAGTGCATTATAAACCCACGCTCTCTCTTTACTAGACTTACAGGCTACCGATGGAAAGTTAAGCTTTGTAGACTCCGACTTTGTGGTTAAGAGAGACGTGTGGTGGTTTGTCACATGGGGACCTGTAGAGTTTCAAATTTGAACCACCTTTTCTCCACCAGCAAACTTAGATCCAGTCATTTGGTTCGTTCTTACAGCGAAACATTTCGAAAATAAAACTAGTTGAAGCCACAGACTTTCTATGTATATGTTTTCTTTTCTATGTATTTGTCCCATAGACACTTGCTTTGTAAAATAATGGCATGTTCATTTATATTTCTCTGATCTATTAGTAATGTGCTTCATTTTCGATCTATGATAAAAACATGTCTCCTTCTTGTCTAGAGTATCTTGTTTAGCACATTTCAAAAGTAAAACTAACTGAAGCCACAGACTTTCTATTTACGTTTTCTTTGAAATCTTAAACACACGCTGTGTAAAATAATCCTGTGTTCATTTATATTTCACTGATCTATTAGTAATGGGCTTCACTATAGATCTATAATAGAAAACATGTCTTGTGCTTATTTATTCCAGCAAAGATGTGGTTTCCTGGTACTGTGCATGTTGATTTAAACACAAACCTTTCTATCACTCGTGGAGGGACTCTGGGTGGAGGAAGGATTGGAGGAGAGTCCACTACAGGCCGCAGGGGGCGTGGAGGAAGAGGAATGTCTGGAGGCTCCTTAAAACATGGAAGAAGCATGATACAGTATGAAATGAGTAATAAAGGAATAAACATACAATATATGACATGGTTGTTTCTTTGCTTAAAGGCACAGTAGGTGATTGTCTTTAGAAACATTTTTAGTTGTGCAGGTTGAAAGTCTCTTCACATTCCAATAGTATTGATTAAAATTAATGATCTAAATGTTTTATATGTATTTTTATATTCTTTATATTTTTTAAGACTAAAAAATGTTTGTCAAACTAAAATTTGTCAGGCAGATATTTCCCATAATTCTGATAAGTAGCCCAAACTGTCTGTTAAGAAATGTAGATTTGTAAATCTTTTCACACAGATCCTCCATTTACGCAGGCTCATTCACTGCCCTCATGTGCACACAGCGGTAAAAACAAATGCTGAAATCAAAACTTTTTAAAATCCTGAATCAATATTGGAGTTACTTTTGCACGCTGGAGGAAGGACGACACCATGGCCATTTCTTTTAGACAGGTCAGGTTATGTTTTATAATGTTTTTTTATTTAGTCACGCAAAGCTGATGTAGATTTTGTGGATCTAGGAATGGGTTATATGCACAGAAGTGTTGTTCAGCACTGAAATCTTCCGGCAAAAGACTGATGTGACTATTTTTATTTTCATAAGGGACCTTTTATAAATTGATAATGTAAATTTTCATTTAGTTTAGCAACAAAACATAAGTAAACAGCGCTGTGGCGAGGGGGCGTGGCCGAGAGCCGTGGGAACGGAATGAGGCCGCTGCGTAAGTGGATGCACCTGCGGTGCGCACCGTCCTCGAATCCCACGGAAGGAGCTCTGGACTATAAAAGGAGGAACGATGGCAGAGGAAGCCGGGAGGGCCGGGCCCGGGTATATTGTTTTACTTTTTTTTTTTTTCAGGTTTAAATTATTTATTAATAACAGGGACGGCAGCTCCTCACAGAGACTGCCGTCTAAACCAAAACAAACGGACGGCACCTCCTCACCGAGACTGCCGTCAAACTGAAAGCAAAAATAAAACAATATTTTATTGAGCTCGGGTAGACCTCAATGAACAATCACAGACTTATTTCTGGCTAATGACGGCTACAGGGATGGCTAAAGAAAGATTTACGACTTATTAAGAGCTTGATTATGATGTCAATTTGGTATGTTCAATTTACTTAGGTTGCAGGTTTTTTCGACTGTGGGAGGAAACCGGGGAAAACCCAAGCAAACATGGGAAGAATGAGCAAACACCACACAGAAACTTCGACTGGTTTAGGAAGGACATTCTTGCTGTGAAGCAATAGTTAATGGGCCGCCGTGTCACCCATCTAGAAAGGAGTGGGAATAGGAGTGGGAATAGGGGTGGGTGAGGGGGGTTCTTCAAAACGAAGATACTAAGATAAGAAACTGGTTATTAATAGAGCGTTAGGAATCATATGATTGGTGAATCAATTGTAAGCTAATGTTTACAATTTTATAGAGTTTATAGTATTTATTTAACTTCTTATGTGTTTTCCTTTAATGCAAACATTGGCTTGTATATAGTTGTTAGCTATGTATGCCGGCTTTGACTGTAATAAATAAACAATCACAAAAAAAATCTGATTACTCTATGCGTAATTAGTAATTACTCCATTATCCTTAAATTTGATGATGTTCTCTTTTCTGGCAACTGTTATCAGTCTCACACATATTTTTTTTTTCAGCAAATAAGATTGTAAAAAAATATATTTGTTGTACTCTCCCATTCCCTGTGCTCTAGGTTTACCCAACTATGACTTCTGCTATACTGAGAAACCCAGAAATGTGAAAATGGTCCATTCTTTTATGTCTAGAATGCTCAAAAGGATTACATAAGCAAAAATCGTTCACTTTTACAGTATTTTCTTTACCAACTGAAAGCATCTTTGCTGAATTAAATATTAATTTATTAAAAAAAACATTCTACAATGTACATTCTATAGGAACAACATGCTGTGAGTGACAACTTGGAGTTGATTATTATTTTGATTCAAATGAAAAAAAAGTGTTAAAGGAAAAAAGCTGACCTCTTCACCGTCCACACCACTGCTGTTGCTGACTGTGCTCTGAATGCTCAATCTGTGACTGCTACTGCCTGCACAGGTCAAACATCATACTGTTGAAATACACCAAACTCATTGTACTTTAGTTGAGCATTTCAAATGTACATTTACATGTAAAAAAGAGCTATCTATACACTTTTTTATACATGAAAAGCTTTTTCATTCCCTGTGTGGGATCATTATGTAACAAAATAGTCTTAAAATAGTCAAATTCGGTCAATGTATGATGCAAAGATAAGAGATTAAGTCAAAGCTAAAGTCTTTCATAGACACATCTATAAGCCCAACATTACTCATACCCCTGACAAACTCTGACCTAAGGTTACTTTTATTCAAGCAGCAAGTTTTTTGTTTGTTTGTTAGTTTGTTTGTTTGTTTGTTTGTTTGTTTGTTTTTACCAGAAATGACAGACACAGAAACAGATTATAAGATAATGTACAAGAGGCATCATTGTGTAAAAAGTTTTTCATTCATTCATTTTCTTTTCGGCTTAGTCCCTTTATTAATCTAGGGTTGCTACAGCGGAATGAACCGCCAACTTATCTAGGACGTTTTTACACAGCGGATGCCCTTCCAGCCGCAACATAACTTTGGGAAACATCCACACACACTCTCATTTACACTCATACACTACAGACTATTTAGCCTACTCAATTCACTTGTACCGCATGTCTTTGGACTGTGGGGGAAACCGGAGCACCCAAAGGAATTCCACGCGAACGCAGGGAGAACATGCAAACTCCACACAGAAACGCCAACGGACCCAGCCGAGGCTCAAACCAGTGGCCTTCCTGCTGTGAGGCGACAGCACTACCAACTACTGTGCCACTGCGTCGCCGTAAAAAGTATTTCTCAGCATTTATTTACCTTTGAACAAAAATGTCCAAAATGTCCAACCTCTCAATAATCAATAGAAAAACCTTTATTGGCTTTTACAGCAAACAATAGCTATAACTGCTGACCAGGTTAGAGGGTATTCTTGCCTTCTCAATTGGATTAAAGTCAGGGCTCTGGCTGGGCCACTGCATAAAGGTAATGTTTTTATCTGCTAACCATTCCTGCTGCATCACTTTAGCTGTGTTTTGGGTCATTGTCTGTATATACTGTATGACTGTATATAATCTACTTTATCTAATATACTTCATAATCAAATGATCATAACCATAAAAGTGCAACAACCTCATCTGTTAACATGATGCCATGAATTCCAGAGTTTGTGCAAACAGATCCAAAAATGCCATGATCAGATGAAGGGAAAAAAAACTTCATGTCACATTCAGTATGTTCCATTTAATAATTCAATAATTTAAATAAACTTAATTGTCAGTGGTGCTGCTAATAATGAGGTTGTCTGAATTAGATTGGGGTTAGGTTGACATATAGTCAGTTAAATGTCTATTGAAGCAGCAGTATCAACAGATATTTAGCAGACAGTCTACTAATACTCAAATGGACCATCAAAATAAAGTGTCACCAATAGTTTGCTTAAAAATATTTCAATATGAAGCAAACAATGCAAGAGATGAAAATACAACAGCATTTTGATGTATTTCGAAGTTTGAAAATTCTATAATTATAATTTTCATTATACTCCAAATTATATCTACAAACAAGATATCCAAAAAACAAACCAGTTACTATGCAACTATTCAGTTCAAACATACCATGGGTTAATCTTTTACAGTCAGTATCATTTTCCGAAGCTAATAAAGCATGAGATTAAAGAAGTTATGGTTTACATACTAGAAGTGCTGGAGGTGCTTCCTGTCTGCCAGCTTCCCCTCTGCGGTGCTCGATTGACAGAAGGGGGTTGCACAACCGTCCTAGGTGTGGGTTCGTAAACTGAGCAGTTCACATTCATTTGAGATCCCCACTGAGTGTTCGTTTGCATCGGAGCTGTAATCATGAGCTCTAACAGGAAAAAAAAAACAAATTGAAAATGGAGTCATAAAATATATTAAGTTTTGGAGGGGTTTTTTTTGCTATACGTTAATTTTTGCTTTACATTTAAACACAAAAAAAACATTATCCATATTTAATTACAATACATTTTGATTGGTTATCGTTATTTTTATTTAAATGAAATATAATTAAATATAATACAATAAAATTAATTATATAAGTAATAATTAAATTTAAATAATAAAACAAAAGTATACAATATTATTACCATTGCTATTATTATTATGGATATGCATTAATTATTAAAATATTTTTATGTTTTGTAGCAATAAAAACAGCTACTTGCATTTCTTTTCTTTGTGATGAGAGCTGGAAACTACTCAGATATAAATAGCTGTATAATTTGCATATCACAATGGACTAACAGGCTCTGAAACTGAAGCTTGCTTATAATTTTCATGGGCCACTGCTTCAAAGTTTTTGCTGAACCCTGACAGGACCTTTTCTTGCATTCTCTCATGGTATAAAATTATCTTAAATAAACATTTAATAAGCCCTAATCAGCATCCCGTATTTGCTTACCATTTGTTCCTTTGTCTTTACAGCGTCGGGTGATGCTTTCTCTTAATCGGTGTAAATTTTCCTTAAAGTAAACAGAGAGATGTTTACAGACTCTATATAAAAATGTATTAGTTTTTATTTATTTACTCTTATTAGGGAGCTGCTCACTTGTTGAAAGCGTAGAGAGCGCCATCTTTTATCCTGGTCAAACTGCCAAGCCTTAAACTCCTGCACGGCCTCTTCAACAGTCAGCTCTCCAACCTTCACCCTCTCCTGCAGAGAGATGAGCTGCCTCTGTCCAGGGGTCTTCATGCCCGCAAATGGGTCATGGTGACTGCTCATGTCTCTGTCTCTCACCAGCCGCACAGGTGCTGTAAAAGCAAACAATATTTAATCATATCAACCGTTTATTTAATGTTTCCATATTGTGTTTGTAAACACACATGGTTCAAAATTAGGATCAAGATTATTTTATAACCTACCTATAGAGGGATCCCTTTCTGGTCGCTGGCTTACTGAGTACAGAGGGTCCTTGGGGCAAAATACTGTAAAACAGGTTCAAAATAAACTGAGATTGCAGTTAAAATACCAAAAGTGGACAGTTTTTTGTATCTGGAGCCTGTAGATCTTTGATATGTTACCCTTAACAAAATTTTATAAAGCAACATTTTATCAACCATAAATACGAATGTAAATAAGATTGTTTTCAGTGACCTTTGACACTCGTCTTTTTTGTTTCTATGATCTATGTTCTTACCCGTTTTGAAAAAATAAAAAAAGTAAAAAAATTAAAAATCCTAATGGTACAACCTAAAATGATTTTAATAATTTGTAGTTTCCAAATCTAATGAATATCATATTTCATATAAATACAGTAAAACATATTTTGAAGAATTTTCATAGCTGAACAGTTTTGATTTCCATTGACTTCCACTGAATTTTGTGTTTAAAAAAAGTCAATGCAAACTCTAACTGTTTAGTTATTATCAAAGCTAAAAATGTAATTATTTGCATTTCACAGGAAAATTATAGACTTGCAGGTATAAAATGACACGAGAGTTAGAAAAAAAATCCATTCACACCAAGAACATTAATAATGTGTCCTAACTAGGCTTCTGCCGGTATCATTTTTTTTTTTTTTTTTTTGCAATTAATGGCTGAAGTTTTTATCAGTATATGGTTTCATCCCAATACTGAGTTAGTCTGCATAAAAGATTATCTTTAGTAGGTATAATAACCAGAAAATGCCTATTGCTTTATTGTATATACAGTTGAAGTCAGAGTTATTAGCCCCCCTTTACATTTTTTTCTTTTTTAAATATTTCCCAAATGATGTTTGACAGGATGAGGAAATTTTCACAGTATGTCTGATCATATCTTTCTTCCGGAGAAAGTTTTATTTGTTTTATTTCGCCTACAATAAAAGAAGTTTTAATCATTTTAAGGTCAATATTATGAGCTCCTTCAAGCTATTGTTTTCACTAATCTACAGAACAAACCATGGTTATACTATAACTTGCCTAATTACCCTAACCTGCCTTAACCTAATTAACCTAGTTAAGCCTTTAAATGTCACTTTAAGCTGTATAGAAGCATCTTGAAAAATATTTAGTCAAATATTATTTACTCTCATCATGGCAAAGAGAAAATAAATCAGTTATTATAAATAAGTTATTAAAAATATTATGTTTAGAAAAAATCTTCTCTCTGTTAAACAGAAATTGGGGAAAAAATAAACAGGGGGGCTAATAATTCAGGGCGGCTAATAATTCTGTCTTCAACTGTACATGTTCAGAGTAAACAAATGTTGTAACAGGTTTAAATGAAAAAATGAGATAAAGTACAAACCATCTTATTAGGCATTAACTAAGAAATTATCTCCAATTATTATATTAATAAATGTGTTATGGTTTTTGTCATGACTTGAGGTAACTAATGTTAACAAACATAAATTTACTATACAGGGAACAAACAGAAGGCCTAAAAATTACCACAGAATCTTCTATTTTCTATGCTAGGTTAATATGAAATGTTTAATATTTGAAAATGAGTAGACCGTTATGTCTTGATCATTTGGTTCTGAAAAACAACTACTGTAATGCATCAAAATATTTATAAAAACTCTTTTAAATGTTTTAATCAAAATAATTGTTCACTGTATTTTGAAGTAGCCATGATATTAATATTGTGCATGTTCTTAATCACAATGTACTGAATTACTTAATACCGGCACATGTCTAGTTTTACCAACATGCCACAAGACAAGATTTCAGAGACAAGTCGTTTGGCTGTCCAAACCAAATGACACATGGCGGAAACATTTAAAAAACACAAACATTCAGAAGGGCAGAAGAGTGCACTGAACTACCGGCCGAATTATTAGGTTAAGAATGCAATTTATAAATATTCAACTTCATTAGCATTTTTAAAAGTACAGTGTAGATGCTGAGTGACTGCTGCTGTTGATATGCACTGAGCCACTGTTCCAACGTTCATGATTAAACTATGTGTTCTGCTGCTGCTTATGGCATAGTATGGCTGTAAATGTCATGTAAAATGGTATTCAAATTTACATTGGTTAACATTTGGCACATAATCAGCACCTGAAGATCGCTTTTATAGTGTGCTGCAGAATCACATTGTGTCTTAAAGCACAGAGTAACATTAATAATAATAAATAATAAATAATTAATATTAATAAATAATTAATAATTATAAAGACAATACTAAGGATGAGGATGAGAAAGCAGAAACGATTTTTATAAATGATCACAGTTTTAAAACTCATTCTAAATTTACATGCAAGATTTACAACACAATTATAAGGATAATGACACATATGAACAATGTTATTAAAATCGCTTTTTTCCAGTTGATGAACAATAAAAAAGTTATTAGCCAGTACACTGTAATACATTCCCAGAATTTTACAACATGTTATACTGTCATTTTTCACAGTAAATTACATTACATTAGTGTCACTTACGTATTCATTACGTATTCAGAATTGTATTGTGAAATTAAGGCAGGCATCATGATTACAGCATATTACTGTAAAAATGGCACTTTAGTTAACTAAATTAATTTAATATACATTAACGTTTAAACTAGTACAGGCACTTTTTGATATTTAGAAATATTTAAAGAATTATTGTTATTATGTACTGTCAATTTACATACAGTACCTTACTGTGAAAGTAATGCAATTATTAGGCAGTAACTTACTGTAAATTTAAGGTCAGACATTTTACAGAGTACTGATCAGAATTAACTGCACAAAAAAAAAAAAAAAAATTTATTAAAAATGAAACGAACATGATTTTACTTTGGTGTGGATGCTAGCACATTTATTACTAAAGAGATCTGTATATAAAGTGTTCGTGAATGGGTGTGAAGTGATTTGAATAGGTCTGATAATGACAATATAATTTTATGGTGGACTATCACTTAAAATATACTTCAGTTTCCCAAATATTGTGAAAACACTTCTGATTTTTGCAAATGATACCAGTATTGACTCTGCACTATATAATAAATACTTAAAAAAAAAATCAATCAATCAATCAATCAAATTAGCTTGTCTAGTCATCTCAAATGACATCAAACTGACTAAAAATATTAATAAAATCGTAAGAACTAAAAAATTGAATTCAAACTTAAAATAAAGTAACATTTGTTTTCATGATCTTTTGTTTGTGTAAGTTACAAAATCATGTTTTTTGGTGAAGATGGGGATGTTGTGTTCTCTTTATTATGACTTCAATCTTCATAAATGAATAAATTGTAGAACTAGAGCCAAAATGTGTGATTGTGAAGGTTCCGTGTGAAGAAGTTTTGTTGGTGCTGCTGTCTGTCAAAATGCACTTATCATGTAAAAAAAATGTTTTTCTAGCTTTTAGTTTAGCCCCCTTAAATTGAGCATCTATGTTTGCAATGATATTTCGCTGTAGTTGTGTGGTGAACTTGTGGTTTGCACCTTTAGAAATGTAGGTTGTGTTTTCTTCAGGTTCGGGCAGTTTGGCTGGTCGAGGGATGGGTGCGGGTGGACGGTTCATCACTTCAGGACTGGAATGAGGCTCCACTGTGTCATAAATTTGCTCAGGGCAGCAGGGGTTATAAGGGTCCTCCTCTTCAAAATCTCCATAGACATCTACTTTAACACCCATGTCGTGGTAATCCTCATCATCCATTTCAGGCAATCCACCATTGGTTGAATTATGTTTCATGGACTGAAAACCCTTTTCAGGTGGTCCTAAACAAAAACAGCAAAAGTTATACACTAATTATTTAAAAGCTGCAAAATATATTCGCTTGTATACTAGCTCAGACTTTAATAAATGCCACAAGTTAACAAGCTGCTCTGGTTTCACACTATGCAAGCAAACTACATCCTGTAGCAAAAGATCTTACCCATATAAGCAAAATAAGCCATGAGATCATCTAATAAAGCTATTTCCTACTTGCTACATTACAGATATGAAGATAATATTACAAGCCTTTGCAGAAATGCTGCATGCTTATCTATATATATTAATAATATATGTATATATGCTATCACACAGTGGAAAAAGTGATAAATATCACATATAAAAGCACATATAATGATCATTGTTTTTAGATTGATGTACCTTCAAAAAACTTTCTGAGCATTCTCTCTGGGTTGGAGTCCCCCAAAGCACTTTCTAACTCATCGCCTGTTGGAACAGTTTGCAAATATATATATTTTCAGTTCATGCATTTGAAATAGGAATATGTCAAAAATATATATGACTTCATTATGACATATCTGGGTCAAAGTTTGTGTCTCATATTTAGTGTCTGCATTCAATTAAATATGCAAAAGAGGTTTTATTTACACAAAGAGTCTTTTTTAATGTTACAACTTTAAAATATGTAAATAATTAAATATGTGAAAAAATGTTCCATCACCATTCAGCAAAACTTATATATTTATGTAAAAACATGGATGGATGGATGGATGGATGGATGGATGGATGGATGGATGGATGGATGGATGGATGGATAGATTCTACAGTCTGACAATATTTAATAATATCCATATGCTTGACAATTATTTTGGTAGACTATAGCCTGAAAATATTTATTACACCTGACAGTGTTTTTTTGGTATATAAATTATAGTTAAAATGAGGGTCTATTGTGTAAACTATAGTAAAAACATATAATAAGCTGTAACTATTGTTAAAAAAAAAAACTTTAGCCATTGATCCATTTAGCAGTAGTAACAAAACAATATTGTTTCTTAAAATAAAAACTTCATTAATTATTAATGAAAATATAAAATATTACAACACACACACCCATCTCAGGATTGAGCTTCACCATAGACTCATAAATGTTCTCATTATCGAACTCAGAGATGAAGTTCTGGGAAGCTCTCAGCATATCCTCATAGATGTCCTCACTTTCGGGGGCGTTCTGAGATTCCTCAATGTGCGTCTTCACTAAATCCACTGTCTCCTGTTTGGATTAATAAAAGAAACAAGTAATTGGCATCACCAACACTATATAATAAAGGAAATATTGTTATATAAATGTATCCCATACTTGTTAACTAACAATTGCATTATATTCTTATATTTCTTTTACAATGCAACATTCAGCAGTGAACTCACAACATATTCATCCATGAACTGTCTTAAATCAGAGAAACCGCTCTTCTCGGCCAGCTTATTGGGGTAATCCCCATCCTTGTTCATCACACTGTAAGCCTGCATGGCTCCGGGGCACCGCATTAACAAAGATGTTAACTTTTTTAAGCCATATTTGGCAGAAAAGTGAAGCAGCGTTGGGAGTTCCACATCACGGTGATCTGAAAACAAAGTCATTTCTACTTACTGTTTCCTGTCTTTAATAACAATTAGCCATCAACACCAGTTCCTTCTACATGATCTACCACCAAAAATATATATAATTATATATAATGATATATTATATATTTATCAGGCTTTTTGTAAATTACACACTTTTAAAACTAAACATTCCAAGAAAAAATATTTTTTGGGATCCCCAAAAAACCTTTCAGTGAATAATTCTTAAAAGAATCATTAAGAACATTTGGTCCTACTTTATTAATGGAATTAACTACTATGTACTTATATCAAAACAGTAATACAATGTATTTAAGATGTTCATAATGTATTGCAGAACATTTCCGGTGCTATTGACGAAGGAAATGCATAAGGATAATAAAGGATAGGTTTAAAGGTGGGTTAAAGTGTAAGAGATGGTCAACATGTAATTATAAATGTACTTACAGAAATTAATTAGTTAATTAAGTGCAATTTTAAAACATTTATTTACACAATAAGTACACTGTAATGAATTACTCATTTGACTGTAAGTTCATATTAGTTGAGGCCACATGATTTAAAGTGAGAACATCTAAAGAAACCATTTAATGAACCATTTGTAGACTGGAAATATTCCAGTCTATGTTAAAGGTTCTTCTTGAAAGTTGATGGTTTACATATGTTGATGTAAATACTGTATTCTCTTCACATTAATGCCAATAAAGAAACTTTATTTTTAAGAGCGTAATCACATGAATGTGTTTATGAATGAATTGACTCACTTGCTGCTGTGTTTTCTTCAATTTGACTAATTCCGAATACTTGTAATCCATTTACAGGCATCCGTTCTTCAAGAGAGGTAGCAAGCAAATTATCTAACGACTCTTGGAGCTTTGATGTGATATCAAATGCCTGAAAATATAATCATGTTAAATACAAAATCAGCTTAATATTAGTCTTTAAATCCAAATTTCTTTCTGAAACTACTTTTTTTAAAAGACAATAATAAAACCTGAAAATTATTAGACAGTTTGAATACATCAGCATTTCCTTTTACTTTTTTACATTTTACTGTCTTCTTCTGATCTTTTCTTGGCTCTCACAAAATTTTTACTTTATGTAAAAATAATAACAAATTTTAACTTCTAAAATTGACGTTTTTTTCTTTTATTTTTAGTACTATAAAACAAGTTTAAATTTCAACATGTAACATTTATGTGATGTTCGAAGCAAGATGCATAATACAATACAAATAAAAAGGTCATATTCAAAAGTCATTTCAGTTTATGTGTCCTTTTTGCAAAAGATTTTTGTTTATTGCTTCTATCAACTGTTTGTTTGTTTCATGCTATTACCTGACACATGAACTGCACTGGATCAGTTGCTTTCTTTAGATATCTGCAAATTTCCTCCATTTCTGTATAATATGTTACAGTTGATGAGCATAACACAGACTGATTTTTATAAACCGTCAATGATACTTCCCCAGCTGGCATATCTAAAAGAGAAAAACAAATCATCACAGCTGAATTAAGAATTGCAGGCATATATTGTACATAAAATTATTTAAATCATTGGACTATTTTATTTTATCTAGGCGCAAAGTTTAAAGTACATAAAGAAAAAGCATTAAAGGCATGTCCGAATCCACATTTGCACCTTGATGCATGGTCTAACAGGGTTGTGCTTAATCTCTTACACCCCATTTACACAGGGCGCCAGCATCAACGCTTCTCATTCACTTTGAATGGGTGATGTCAGGCGTTGCTGAACTGCATTGTGGATCCATTGGCACCACTACGGCGTTGCTCGCTGAAGAAGTTGGAAATTTCTCAACTTCTCAAATGCCAACACGCACGTCAGCCAATAAGATTGCTTCATGCAAACACACAAGCTCAGACACTAGCCGATTGCGGATTAATTTCATTGGCTAACGCTGCTGTGATGATCGCATCAGCCCCAACTTCAGACATTCTCTCAGTCAAGCGTTGACTCTGAAGTCTGTATAAATCTTCTGTTAATGAGCTATGGGTGTGTTTTGAGCATTTACATGGTGGACTTTGTAAGCAGAACAACCGAATGCTTCACTAGTGAGAAAACAGTTAAACATGCTATCTGTGTGACGATAAGAAATTAAGCCGCCTTTCCACTGCACACGACAAATGACAAGCGACAGAAAGGAAGTCATTCCGGTCACTTTAGCCTCCTCCATTCAGCCTCTTTACTCTCTTTTTCTCTTTATTTTTACTTTCGTGGATAAGGAATCAGTGTTGTACTCACTCCACTGAAGACATCTATTAGCCTACATATTTAATTTTGTTTGTTAAGCACAAAGATTTGTTTCAAAACTATTTCTAAATTCAGTTCTAATTTCCAGCAAACGAATAAATAAACAATAATAACGAAGTGTGGTCAATTTATATCCGAACACACGCCCTATTCTTATGTCCCACATAATAATAGCCCCCTGAGATGAGGCATGGAGGCTGTGTTTTTTTATATTTATGCAGAAAATAATAATTTTTCTAACATTTTAATCTTTTAGTTTTTTAATATGCAAAAATATTTGTGTATTGCTGTACATCCTGTCTGTATTAAGCAATGTGTAAGCGTTTGAACCCACATAGGTGCATAATTAACGCACTATGAACTGGATTTTAGACCTGCCTTAAAATGGTCAATGGTAAGGCTTATTTCAGTTCCTCAAAATAGCAACACACCAACAATGCGCCTTAACACACCTCTTTTTTAGACCAGCATGCCCATGAGTCCACAAAGTGATAAAAAAGGATTTACTAATTAAACATAGCGCAAAACATGAAAACTAGGGTTGCGCTGGTCGAAAAATAGCAACAGATTGCACCAAACACGTATTGTGCTTAATTGCGCTGGGTGTATGATAGAAGCCAAAATGTTTAAATATCCCAATGAGGCACTTATTAATTAAATATGAAGAGATTTTCATACATTACTGGCACAAAAAATAAACATTGAATTAATTATTTAGTCAGGTTCAAAAATCTTTATAAAAGTTCAAAAAAAAATTATGTGGGGTTTGTTTTTGAGTGGGAAGTGTTTGGGATTTTTTTCAGCCAGCAAAATATAATATGTTTTGTAAAAACAAAATCTATATATAAAAATTAATAATTTAAATAATATCTAGGAACATATCCCTCTCTAAAAACCTTCAGAATACAGATACGAGATTGGTGTAGTCACAAATTGATAAAAAAACAAAAACAAAATAGAAGTGTTTTCTGCTTAAAGAAAAGATAGGGAAACTGACAGGTTTATAAAATGTGAGTGTTTTGCCTGCAGTGTCTAGCCTTTAAAAGTGTAATCAGACTTCATAGACAAAGCTTTGCTTACAATAAATAAGTATGCGAACCAAAAACAATATGCAAATTCAGCTGAAAGTGAAAAAAAGCTGGAGGAACTAACAGAAGAAGTTCCTCTTTCTGTGTTTTTTGACTTACCAGGTGACTGAACAGTAACAATGCACTGGTTGACTAGAGTTCCAGGCAGACGCAGAGGTGGCGACTGCTGGGAGTGAAACTCCACCTCCACACTGTCCTCATCCTCACACTTCTGCACCAGCATTACAAAAATACTCACACCACTCTGGATGGGATCAAACAAACAGTGAGAGTGTTGTGAGACACTGTAATGTACAGTAAGTGACTGATAACTGATTCTGCTCCTGTCAGCAAACAATATGCTAAAGCTAGAGTTTATGATAGTGTAACATACTTTATAAAGACTAGAGAGTCAAAACATTTTTAAAACATGAAGAACTTTACTAATTACAAAAAATGCCACACCATGATGACACACACTGTACAACGGTCAACAGCAAATATAGGGCCAAAAATAGCTTTTTTCCATGACTTAAAGAAACTTTACTTCACTTTTTTAAAAATAGGCTCATTTAACAAGTCACTCAGAGTTAGAGTTGCGTTTTATTGTGTTTCAATCTATTCAGCTGATATCCTTATGCTAAGCACTTTTCTCTTTTGTAGTTATATTGTGTACTAAGACTGACAGAAAATGAAAAGTTGCTCTTTTCTAGGTTAATCCGACTAGAAACTATACTCTCATTCTGGCATAATAATCAAGTAACTTTGCTAACATAGGCTGGAGCAGGTGCAATGATATTATACAGCACCTGAAAATAGGTAACTAGGTTACAGTGCCGTGTAATATCATTGTTTCTGCAGCCATGGTATGGCTAATGGTCAAATCCGATTCAATTAGCTATACTAAGCTAAACTAAAAGTGCTCCCGCCAGACCCAGATATTGACTGAATGGATTCAAAACTGGTAAAACTCAACTGCGACTTGTAAAATGAGCCAAATTGCAAATAAAAACAACAAAGATTGTTCCTTTATGGCAGGGGTCACCAATCTCAGTGCTGGAGTGACGGTTTCCCTGCAGGGTTTAGCTCCAACTTGCCTCAACACACCTTCCTGAAAATTTAAAGTATACCTAGTAAGACCTTTATTAGCTTGTTCAGGTGGGTTTGATTAGGGTTGGAGCTAAAATCTGCAGGACACTGGCCCTCTAGGAACAAGTTTAGTGACCCCTGCTTTACGGAATAATGCCATTCAGTGTAACAATATTTTGAATGCAAAGAAATAATCATGAAGCATATTCATTTAATGATTAATGATCACAGCAAATCACAACCATCACCCTAACAATACAAATTAAACATCCTTTTAAATATCTGTCCTTGCCACTGGGGTTTAATGTTTGTCAGTGAGACGTAATAGGGTATATCGGGCAAAGGTATGTAGAAGGACTTTGAATTTAGCAGTAACCTGGGTCACACGCTTTTGGTGACTTGTATGCAGTTAGTAAATTGATCCGTTTAAGGTCTGTTTTCTTAAAAAATCAATGATCTTTACTGCCTAATTGATATAAGATATAAAGTGGGTCTCAGATTGTACAAGAAGCACTGCATTCAATTTAATTTTCATATGCCATGTCTTTAAAATATTAACATTTATTTTAGTCCAGTATTTTCAATGGCGTTTCTGCGCTCACCTGCTGATCCTGACAGGCGCATGCATGTAAATGGCTTTTCATCTCGTTTTATACTTGAACAACTAAATGAATGCTGAAGTCTATTTAACTGATTGTATTTTATTACATTAAAACATCGATGCAGTAAAAGGAACCGTATAAAATTGAAAAAAGTAACATTAACCTTTTGCTGGAAGTGTATCGGTATGGGAAGAAACAGTGTGCATATACCCTATTATTCACGTAAAATATAATAAAACTTTGTATGAAGACTTAAATAACCATCAGTATATAGATTAATTTTTACCTCAATAAAACTAACACTGACTAATGAAGTAATCGTTTTTTGACATTTTATTTTCACCAAATGTATTTAAAGCATTACAGGTAGACACTTTACTTCTATGTCTAAAACTATAACTATATTTTCTTTGATGCAGACCCGCAGACCCATGCTTTAAATCACTATATATATATATATATATATATATATATATATATATATATATATATATATATATATATATATATAATTTCCTTGCCCTGTTAAACATCATTTAAAAAAGAAAAAAAATCTAAGGGGGGATAATAATTCTGACGCCAACTGTATATACATTATTCATATACATTTTGATTTTTAAAGGTACATTTAAAGGTACAAAATGAATAAATGAAATATATGTAGGAGACTTTATGAAACAAAAAATATTTTGGGTAGACACTAACTTCTTGATTTTTAAAGAAGATGACTACATTTACTGGAAAATACCACACAGATATGGAAAATATAACAGAATTTAACTGATAATTTTCAAGTACTCTTTTATTTTTTTCCATTTCTGTATATATAATTTAATTAAAGAAAAACTGACATATGTTTTTCCTCCTTTTTACATCATCCCCATTTCCTCATGTCATTGAACTATAAATGGTACAGACTTTTTTGGTTGATTTAAAAAGCACTAAAAAGTGAAGTCATCCAAACTCGTCAGCTTCACGCTGACATTAGCAACCATGTTTTCTTAGAAGGAGTTTATTTTAGGCCCTTACCCCACACAGTATTCGGTCAGGCTGGACAGAGAGACAGATTTGGTCATTAGAGGTATTTAAACTGGTTTGCAGAAATGAACACACTTCATCCCCATTAAGCTGATGCTCATTCAGCTCATCTGGCAAAGGTAAAATCTCAGAAAAGTCGGGCAACGGCAAGTCCTCCAAGGGCTCTTCTGGTTCAATTTCATATGTATTCTGGCACTGATGTTGCAGGACAGATCCTAGAATTTAAAAATACATAGAACATATTTAGACTTTGTTTTTTTACACTGTAAAAACATGCTGAGTTCCACACAATTCCTTCATGTTGTCCCAGCACAAATCGATTAAGTTCATATAATTGTTTTTACTTACTTAAGAGGATTGAACATAAAACAATTAAGTTGTCCAGAAAAAAAACTAAAGATGTCTGTTGTATCAATTTTTAAAATAATTAGTTTAAACATGCAGCAAAAGTCATTTGTTAGGTGTAAATTTAATTTATATTTATTCATTCATTCATTTATTTATTTTCCTTCAGCTTAGTCCCATATTTTTCAGGGGTCACCACAGTATAATGAACCGCAAACTATTCCAGCATGTTTCAAGTATCGGATACCCTTTCAATCGCAACACAGTTCTGGGAAAGTTAATTATTATACATTGTGCAAAAAAATTCATTGCAAAAAGAACATAATAAATAAAATTTTAAAAATGTAAATAAATAAAATGAAAGATTATATTAAATTAAAAATTACAGTTTTTTAAATATTATAAAAACAGGAAATAATAATAATAATAATAATAATAATAATATGACACTATAAAGCAACTTCAAGCCAAATATGAATCAATTCTTCCAAACAATCTTTCTATTTATTAATGTGAAAAATAAATAAATTGTTTTTTTTTAAGTTAAAATAATAGAAATAAAACAACTAGACAATAAATTAATAGTCCAACATAAATAATATTCTAAAAATCTTATTTAAAAAATATATTAACATGTGTGTTTTTAAAGACATTTATTTATGTATTTGTTTGTATGTTTATTTACTTATTTATTTATTATTGTTGTTGTTTCAGACTATAGTATTAATATGTTAATTTGCTAGATAGCACACATATATTGTGTAAAGCATTGAGTATAAAATCACATACCCTCATCAATAGACTCCCGGATGGTGGACACATAAACTTGTGGCTCATCTTCTGAAAAGATTTTTCTCCATTGCTCCCAGTACTCAAAATACCCTGACATTAGCTCTTCTGAAACACCACACAAAAAGGCCACAACTTTATGCGGAGGGTGAAGAAGATCCCGAAAAGTGTCCAGCACCACAGAGTCATTCTGCAGGTTCACGAGCCCAGAGGTCAGCAGAAGAAGAATGCACTTGCTGGAGCCAAAAGGTCCATAGTTTTTTAGACAAATCTCTTCATCCACATCATACAGAACGACAGAGCCCTCCTGAAAGCTACATGAGGCCGCCAGGATCTGCTGGAGATAATCTGCCCATTCTCTGGCCTCGCCGCTGTGAACAATTAATACCTCACACATCACGAAGCATCCAGGGCTTACTGCAAAACAGTGGAGAAGAGATGTACATTAATGCTTTTATAATAATAATAATCACCTTATTGGCAAATCAAATTACTCAAATAAAAATCTAAATTTAAATGAAATGCAAATCAACAAATTTAACAGTTTTTTGAATCAGCAAACCTGGGTGAAATAAAATAAAATACAAAACAAAACAGAAAAAACTAAATAAAATAAACTAAAATGAAATGAAATAAAACAAAATAAAACAAAATGAAATAAAATAAAATAAAGCAAAACAAAATGCAATAAAATAAAACCAAACGAAACAAATAAAAAATTAATAAATTAAAATTAATACATTTATAATAAAATAAAATATTTTTAAATTATATATATATATATATATATATATATATATACACATACTTGCAATTAATCTGATTAATAGGGTACATTTAATTATAAAAATGTATAAATTCATTAGACCTTAATGATAAATTCAATTATATAGTGAGAGTTACACAAATGTAAAAAAATTCAGACATTCAACAATATATTTTCTGTAAAACTGTGCTATTAAACTAAACTGAACAAACACCAAACTATATTTAATATACTTACAATTAATCAGCAGTAAAAATCTACTTCTACAGTTAAAATCATATATGTAAATCTGGAGGAAACTAAAACTCTATAATTAAATAACCATTAAAACGATACTTTTTCACCGATTCAATGTTAACTCAGGCAAATTAGCAGCAAAACAAGGCTTGTTTATTTGCTGATCAACAAATTAGTGAAGAACTGAACTTCTGCCACGTTTGGGGAAGCTTCATGTTGAGCCAGATACTTTTTCTCATACTGTATTACCATTGCTAAACAAGGTTCCACAAAACTGCATTGCATATAACACTGCAATTAGTCAACTTTAGTCTCCTAAAATGTTCTATAAATAGCACTCTGACATAATGTTTGTGTACAAATTGACAATAAATCTTAAAACTTGTCATAATTGCAAATTTTACCAATGGACTTCTATGACTATGGCTTGCTGACAATTAAATTACAATAAACATGCATTACGGCACACTTCAACATGATCTGTAATTAGTTGAAATCAGCACAAAGTCTGCTTTATGTGTCATTCAAATAATAATTAGCATAAAACTGTGAGTAGTTACAGTGCAGTCACACTTCAATGTACAGTGAGCAGCTTTGCGCAGTGGCGCCCCCAGAAAATTTTCTTAGGGGTGGCCAGAAGAGGCCGCACCAAATCTTGGGGTGGCACACAAAAAAAAAAATAATGAATTCAGTGTAATGTTATATTTTTGTTTCTGGTAAATGAAATAATGTAGTTTTATTCATTTAATTAATTCTACTTGAAATATTGCAATTTATTCTTTGAAATATTGCAATTTATTCTTTGAAATAATTCAGCAAGTACATGTGCAAACCAAATAAAAATCTATGTTTAGTTTAAAAACGCTTTTCATATACTGTATAAATGACTTCTTTTTTTACGTGCCTTTATTGTACATCATACGAGATATGCCATGTCTAAAATTAATGAAGATTAATGAGTTTATTATTCCCAGTGATGGGTTGCAGCTGGAAGGGCATCCGCTGTGTAAAAATGTGCTAGATAAGTTGGCGGTTCATTCTGCTGTGGTGACCCTGAATTAATAAAGGGACTAAGCCGAAAAGAAAATGAATGAAAGAATAATGTGTTTATTAATTACCCAAACAAATGAACAAACTGAACAAAAGGCATTACTATACACACTCACTATACCTAATAATATTATTTATCCATATTGCTTTTGGAACCATTTTATTAATGCAGCTTCTTCTATTGATATACTGTAGCTTAAGGTAAATATTAAATGGCCATTGCTGTCTATTGAAGGTGTGTGCGTGCTGTCAAGGACGATCGGGGAGGGTAGTGGTGGTTCTAGTTTAAATGACACCCTGGGCGAACCACCCTTTACACCCCCACCTCTCTTGAATTGTTAGATTTGTTATTCAATAAATATAACAGTTTATTTATATTTATTCTAAATAAATACAATTAATATTAATATACAATTATTAATCTAAATAAATAACAGAAATCAGTCCTAAATATTACTGGAAAACAACAACTGGAGTGATATGCCAACATCACTTAAGAAACCTTTTGCATGAAAATTAATTATGACAATTCTAAAGAATACAAAAAATGTATTATAGAATTATCTGTGGTCTTAGACCAGATCATGGCTGAGAAATCATGTTATAAAGTCTTACCTGCCTGACTCATTATCCCTCCTTTCTGCTTTAAAGGCATGCTTAGTGAAAGTAACATCATCATCATCATCATCATCATCATATTATATAAACTTTAAACGACTTTCAAAACTCGCTGCGTGCCGACACTTCTGCACAAAAGGCTGTTACTCCGGTTTAACGGCGCATGAGCGGTGCCTATTATGTCGGCGTGTATGCAAACAACCAACCGGGATTCACACAGGAGTGCGTGAGGCGCGCGGGAATGGTTTTCCGCGCGCATGCGTCAGTTTGCTTTCACCAGCATTGAACCAGAGGGGGAGAGCTACGTCAGTAACACCAACAATAATTTAGTGACTGCATTTTATTTATTTATTTATGTATTTATTTATTTATCTAAATATTGGGAATTTATAAGTTCATTTAAATCAATAATGTCAACCGCAAAATTATATTGGGGTGGCCACAGGGGTGGCCAGAGTTTACCGAGGGGTGGCCGTGGCCACCCCTGGCCACCCCTTGGAGGCGCCCCTGGCTTTGCGTTAAGCTCAAGCTCACACTTCAAACACTCATTTACAAAAAACTCATCCTGTGAAAGGAAATGTGATTAAGCAACTTCATATGCAAAGTTTTATTTTTGTTTATTAGCTGATCTTAAGATTGAATGTTTAAGCAACTTTTTTACCACTTTTTTTCAGCTTTCACCAAAATTATTATTTTTATGCATTAACATTGCAATGTCATCTTTATCATTTTAACCAAAAAATACTGCTCAAATGTTAAACAAATCACCTGTCAATCAATTCTATTTGTAAGAAGTATTCAATTAAAAACTGTGCATCATTTTTTAACACAGTATAACATTAACAAATGAGATCTTTCTATAAAAACAACTCACCGTTCTTCTTGTGATGAGACTCTCAGGTTTGAAATCAACCGTGCTTTGTTTCACGTGTTGTTTAGCCGCTGTAGGTTCCCACTGTGGCTTACCGTTTACCTCTGCTCTCTGTCTGTACCTGCAGATCAAAATATGTTTGGTATTTGAGTGTGATACAAGAGCGATGTGCCTTCAGCCCATGACTTACATCTGCTAAAAGAAACAGTCCATTTCCTGATGGTGGGCGGCAGCGTCACTTCCTAAAATACACTTCAACTGCCTCGACTCGCACACGCACACGCAGAGCTGTATGAGACTCTATAAAAACTGTACCAAAATTTCCCAGACGAGAGAAATGCAGAAGTTAAGTAAAACTTCAATACAACTTCAAAAACAGACCATTCATAAATATCAAGCATTGTACATTTCTGAAGAATGACAAACACATGAATCATCATGAATGCATCTGTTGATTTCTAATTAGGCTTCATTTTAATGTCTTTTGTTTTTTTCTGCCTGAAATTCGTCACTGACCCCAGTTTAATTCTCTTTTATTTCTATTTAATTCTATTTTTTTTTTTTGCCTTTCCCTAAAAAATTGTTCTCATTTGTTGCTATTCATTCATTCATTCATTCATTTATTCATTTTCAGCCACTTTTCCGGGAACGGGTCGCAGAGGCAGCAGCCTTAGGAGAGAACCCCAGACTTCCCTCTCCCCAGACACTTCCTCCAGCTTTTCTAGGGGGTTCCCGAGATGTTCCCAGACCAGCCGATAGACATAGTCCCTCCAGTGTGTCCTGTGTCTTCCCCGAGGTCTCCTCCCGATGGGACATGCCTGGAACACCTCCCTAGGTAGACATCCAGTAGGCATCTGAAACAGATGCCCGAGCCACCTCAGCTGACTTCTTTCGATGTGGAGGAAAAGCGGCTCTACTCCAAGCTCCTCCCGGGTGACAGAGCTTCTCACCCTATCTATAAGTGTGTGCCTTGCCACCCTGCAAAGGAAACTGATTTTGCCACTTGTATCTGAGATCTTGTCCTTTCGGTCATGACCCAAAGCTCATGACCATAGGTGAGAGTAGGAATGTAGATTAACTGGTCAATAGAGAGCTTTGCCTTTCGGCATAGCTCCTTCTTTACCACAATAGACCAGTGCATAGACCGCCTCACTGCTGACGCTGCACCCAATCTGCCTGCTAATCGCATGCTCCATCCTTCCCTCAGTCGTGAACAAAACCCCATGATACTTTAACTCCTCCACCTGGGGTAAGGAATTTCCTCCAAGATGGCAAAACACCTTTTTCCGGTAGAGCACCATGTCACACACCACAGCAAACCACCCCAGTGCATGTTGAAGGTCCATATTCGATGAAGCCAATAAAACAACATCGTCTGTAAATAACAGATGAAATCATGTGGTCCCCGAACCGGACCCCTATCGTGCCCAAGGCTGCACTTTGAAATTCTGTCCATAAAAATGATGAACACAATTGGTGACAAAGGGCAGCCCTGCCAGAGTTCAACATGCATTGGAAACAAGTTTAACTTTTTGCCGGCAATGTGAATCAAACTGCAAGTCCGTTCATACAGGGACGAGACAGCCCTTAACAGTGCCCATGACCATACCCCCAGAGCACCCTCCACAGAATGCCATGAGGGACACGGTCAAAAATGTTCTCCAAGTCCACAAAACACATATGGACTGGTTGGGCATGCTCCCATGAACCCTCAAATACTTGTGTATAAAGCTGGTCCAGTGTACCACGGCCAGGATAAAAACCTGATTGTTCCTCCTGGATCCTAGGTTCAACCATCGACCGGACTCCTCCTTTCCAGTACCCTGGCATAGACTTTCCCAGGAAGACTGAGAAGTGTAAAATAAAATAATTTAAAATAAAATAATTAAAGAAAAATAATTTTAATTTTGAATGATTTATTTCATGTAAAAAAATAGCAAAAATTGCTTTTTAAAATGTAATATAAAATAATTACAAGTAATAAATTTCTGGAATCTGATTAGGTAATACAGATTACTACCCAGCATAGGTAATTAAGAAATGTTTACGAATAAATAAATAAAAAATCTAAAGACTTAAAAAACAAAATAAAAACAATAATGAAAAAAAAAAGATTTGTCTTGTCAATCCTTTTAAGAGACAGTCCTCCTCTCCCCCTTGTATAAGTTTCTTTCCTCTGTTGAACAAAAAAGAATATATTGTAAAGAATGTTGAGGTGTTATAGCCAAAGTAGTTTCTACTATGAAGGTCAATAAGTATCAACAACAATAGTTTAACAGAAAAAAAAACTCATAGCGGTTTGAGGCTAAAATAACCAAACATTTATTTTTTTCTACCTCCAATTCTGAGAAAATACAGAAACAATGCAACCCAAAAGCCCTAGCTTAAAAGCTTGCTATTAAAGCTGTTCAGCCCACTATTGACTGAGAGAAGGAACAAAAACTGTGTACTCTGTGCAGCGTTTCAGCTAAATTTCAGTTAGGTTACACAAATGCTGAAGTGAAACATACATTAATTATGAGATTGAAGTGGAGATAAACAAAGTCTCATGTTTATCCACTCTCAGCAATGATGCACTAAACAGTCCCACTTTCAAAACAATTTAGGCAAAACTTTTAGGATTCAATTTATTTCCAAGACTGCAAGTATTTTTGATAATAAATAAGGCAATGACCAGAAACCAGAGCAAATTTCATTGGCCCCATTAACTTCCTCTTTTTTTTAGTGATGTAAAACAAGAATGGTAGGTGTTGGGATAAAGTGTCACCTTGTAAGGATTGCATAGGAAGGATGCTCTTATTTGGCCAGGGAACATGAACATGTTTAGTCATATGAAAATCTAAGAGAATTTTTTCAGTTTCTCTGAATCTTTTTCCAGTCTATAATTTTCAAACTTTAAATAAAAAGGGTGATTTTGTTATATTAAAGAAAGAATTGATTTTATGGCACCAGGTTAAACGTTCTGACAACTTTACGGCACTTGTGTACATTAAAAATAAATAAAGGCCACAACTGAACATGAAGGATGGTCACCGAGGGGCATTCTTCAAAATTAAATAATGAATAGACTAAAACCTTTGAGTACGTGTGAGCCATTACGTGCAAGGTTTATATATTTATAACGACCTCAGAGGGTATAAGAGGTTGCAAGTCACTGGCATTGTATCTTTGTGGGTCACAGGCTAAAAAGTTTGGAAATTTTTCTTAACTCACCGTTGTCAAACTCCACAGCTCTACTTTTAGTGCATTTCAAATTAGATAAATCACACTTAAAAGGATACTTCGGAGTGAAAATATCATGACAACATCACGCCAATTTGAAGTTTCATTCCAAACCATAGTGATCAAAACTGGCCATTTAATAGGACCTCTTGGAATTAAGGATTTTGAAAAGTTTAACTGATGGACACTTCGGGAAATTATCCATTGAGAGGAGAAGCCATTTGGTGTTACACACAGAGCTCATCACTATGATCTATTGTCTTCAGAGGGACCCTACAAAGGGATTATAAGGGCATAAGAATGAGCCCTTCAGAAAGAAATCCATCCACAGCTTTAACCCTACACTATAAAAAAAATTACAGAAATTTACCATAAAATAGCAGATGTTACAATACAGAAATTTACCAGAAATTCAAAATTAAGGAAATTTCTGTAATTCAACATCCATCATTTTACAGTAAATTTCTGTAATTTAACTGCTGTTATTTTATGTTTTTTTCAGCACCCCAGCTGCAGGAAAAAATTGCAAATTAACTTTTTTTTAACACACCTGATCTAACTAATTTAGCCATGAAGGCTCGTTGAAACCTGCCGGTAAACAGTGAGTGTGTTGAAGCAGAGTTGGAACTTAACTGTTCAAGGCAGCAACCCTCCAATAACCGAGTTTGACAGTCCTGTATTAACTCTTCTGAAGCTCAAACATTTCTATAGTGTTGTCCAAATATGAATATAAACTACCTCTTCACACAAATAGCCCACGCTATCACACTATCACTAACACCATTACACCTCAGAATTTAAAGCAAAGTGCACTCCATAAGTCATCATTTTCTGGAAATCATGAGCTCTGAAATTTTTTCATCTCATTAAAAAAACCATATAAACACATAGGTATAGTGTACAGGTGCTATAATACTTCTAAAATCTGGTAGCCTTTATGCCAAGTGGTATCAACATACATTTTTCAGTGATTGATCACAAGTGGCCGTTTAAACACATGACCATTTCCATCAACATGTATTCAAATGTGTTTCGAATGTTTGAGTAAAATGAAGCAAAGTATGAATACCTTGATTTGGTTTGAAACACTGTAGCATTAATGTTGTGTCTGACAGGAGTCATACAAGGATATGGACTCTTTACAGGTGCCGTATGTAAGTTTTGACTTTTTTAAAGCATAACAATATCTTAATATGTTTGCAGATATTTAAAAAAAACATGTTAAGTGAACATTAATGTTTATCTGAAAAACAATGCTCAAGTCAGATATTCTGCTTTGAAAATGTGCATTCAGTGCCCAAACCTCTATGTCTTTGTTTTGGTCATTTAACCCACCCAATGTCAGTTTAGCCAATTAAATTTCAGCACCTCGGGTTGCCTTGGTGGAAAACCGCCTATTTTATTAATTCACTCTGAAAGGCTGTCAAAATGTCCTTCCATGACAAAAATATGACCTCCAGTGGACAGTAGCAGACTCCAAAATGAGACAGAGATACAGAGTTCCACAAGGTGGTTATCAGTTAACTTATAATATAAATATTACAAACATGAACATTAGCTGAGCAGCTAATGTTGAACCAGATGAAACACGATGGAAATTTAAATAAAGCCATTCAGAAGCACAGAATAGTGCATTAACTGCACTCCTACGAAAAGGTAAGGTTTATATTCCAATTAATACATAATAATGCTTTTTAACATTATTAAATGTAGATGCTGAATCACTGATGTTTTTGTTTACTCCGAGTCACAGTTCTGAAGTTCAATTTTAAACGATTTGTTTCATTTTCAAGATCTAAGGTAAGCTATCTGCTGCTGCAGATAAATAAATGTCAATAAATGTCACCTAAAATGGCATTCAAAATCACATTATTAGCATTTAACACTGAATAAAGCACATGAGATGTACCTGAGGTAAACATTGTCAGTTTCCTGTTGTTAAGCAGAAAGAAATAGAAGCAGTTTCTAAAATATAAATTTCATGTGCTAGAACAAAAACTCCTTTTGATATGGAGAATATTCCTTCTATCACGTGGCATTGCTTTCATTGAGAACACAATTTGAATCAACCTTAAATCAAGCCTTTAGGCTTGATAGTTAGGCACACTTCTGTTGATGCCATCAATCTGTCAACCTGCGCTGGCTTGTTTTGAACCAGGCGTGCAATATCTACTTCAACCACTGGGTGTCAAACTTACATACTGCACCTTTAAAATCCCCCTTTTCAAGAGTCTGCACTGTCTATGGCACTGATCTGATTGATCGGCCCTGTTTGTTATCACTACGCCCTTTCACACAGTGATACTACCCACATAGCAAAATTTCTCTGGCCCAGCTCTGGCCCACACAATCAGGTTTTGCTTGGCCCACATGCCGCAGTGAATTACGGTACATGACTGGACCAAATCTGGCTTCCAGACAAGAGCCAAACACAGACCATATCTGGGCCAAGTCTCAGCCAAGTTAATAACTCATAACTGGGCCTGAACTGGGCCAGATAGGTTGGTGTGTCACGATTGCAATGAAATTGATAAACCCATGGAGTGATGCGCTTTAGGCACACTCTGGGCACGCTTTTTCTCAAAGTGACCTGATTGGTAGAATTTTTTTTCTTTACTTAAAAATGATTTTAGTGTATTTTAAATGTGGGTCAAGACTGGCCAAACTCACATGGCCCACTTATCAAATTTTTAAATCTGGGCCAAATTCTACGTTTTTCATCTGGCCCAAATCTTGTGTGCCGCCTTAAAAACGGTGCCACCTCTGCCAAACCCGGGCCATGTTTGGCCCACATGCTGTATGCCAGTGCCTGATGAATGCCTGCTGTGCCAGCTTTTTGCCAAATCTGGGCCAGAATTCTTTGCTACTAGGGTAGTCAGTGGCTGTAAAATTACTGGAACTTTATCAGTAAATTCAAAAATGCACCATTTACACAGGCAACAATCATCCATATTGTTTGTCCAAAAAAAATAATAAAAAAAATAAAAATAATAATATATATATATATATATATATATATATATATATATATATATATATATATATATATAATTGAATATAGTAAAAGAATGTGTCTTGTCTTACGGCAGAGGTGCTACCTGCAGCTAAAAACAGTTATATTTACACATCTGGCTACACAGAAGTGTGTGCAATGGACATGAGCAATTATGCTGATACATGGAAAAGTGTGTTGAACAACTCGATGAAGAAATGTGAACGGAGCACTTTCACATGTCGAGAGATTCATTTAAGCATGAGCTGCAGCCTGTGAGACCCTCTTTGAAATGAGAAACTTCCGGTGTTGTACCAAATTGTGTGTTTGCACATTACACAGTTGAGTGCAGCACTTGCAATTAAACTCACAGCGGTTTATCACAAGCATTTTATCAATGTTTTTTTGGTTTTTTCACAGTTGGCACAAATAAAAAACAAAGGAGCACTATCTAATTAACAACTTAATGTATCTGGACAAATTATTTTATTATTATAATTATTATTTTCCCTGTAAATATAATGAATGTATCATCAGCATCAGATTGTTTGATTGGCCCAGACTAGACATCTCACACCATCACACATTGCCAGAACTAATTTCCTGTTTTTATTGAATTTTTTCAAAAGGGCCTGTTCACACGTGATCTTTTTTTGTGCATGTGTGAAAGGGGCTATTCTGTAGGGCTTAAGGTGCATGTTGGAAACCAAATGTCCATTACTATGGTGGAATTTCAGCTTCTTTCCAGCCTTCTTAAATAGTGATATGAGAGTAATGATGTTGTCAGTTTTAACATCTCAAGTAACTACAGTGTTTGAAGGTTGAAACAGACATAACCAGGCAGCCAATGAGGACCACAGTTGGGCATTATGCTAAATTGTGACAAACCTACACAATTTCGTGTAGGAAGTGTCTGAGCTCTCCCACTCTTTTAAAGGTTTAAGAAACCCTCGAGTACTTTTTTGAGATTGTAACAGAGTTGTGTGTGTTGAGCATCATTAAGACAACGTTGGCACCAGTTCGCTTTAATTGTGGAAAAAACTGGAAAATTTTGAGCCTTTGTCAGCTAATTTCATCTTCTGGGTTTAAAATCATTATCGGGGCGGGATGAAAATCTGTGATAATGCACCTGTCTGAGGATCTGTCTGTCCAGGGATGACATGTTGGTTTCTCAATATTATTCATAGAGTTTTCTTACGCTATGAGAAGACCCTGCTTCTTAATTATTCATGACCGCACATGCTTTATGGACAGACCTGCCAAGTTGTGAGACGACGAATGGCACGCAGTATATAAATGGTTGTAAAAAGTTGTGTCTGCTTCCATGACCCATGAGGTGTGTTGCATGGCATTCCCTGCAATGGTGTCAGGGCTACTGATACAGCCAACCTGTTTGTGTGTAGCAACTAGCAAGCCTTTTTGTCCGGAGAGCTGTACGAGAATGGGAGAGTGGCAGACTTTGACTTTTATCAGTTAAGTTTGTTACCATTCAGACACATCACCATGCTGCTGTGTTCGACTATATTTAAAATCCACTACATTTCCAGCCAGGGCTAAAGGTTGGAATAGATAGTGAATGAGACCTGCTGTAAGCTACTGTACTGCTCTAGACCTAGGGATTCAGCAGAAGGGAAGTCCTCATTATTATTAGTGTTTATTTACTTATTCATTCATTCATTTTCTTTTCAGCTTAGACCCTTTATTAATCTATGGTCGCCACAGCTAAATGAACCATCAACATATCCAACACATGTTTAACGCAGCGGATGCCCTTCCAGCCGCAACCCATCTCTGGGATGCATAGTGTTTATATAAACATGATTATAATAATAGAACAAATTGTGGTTATGTAGATATATTATATGAAATTACAAACAGTATATCATACATGTAACCGGGCATTTAAATACTGTTTATTTCTTTTGCATTTTAACTTTGTAAACAACAAAATCATGCCATCTCATGTTTTGTGTCAGAATTGTTATTGAGCCAACTGACAGTTGTACACCCCCTCTTTTTTCCCTGCTCTGCCCACTCCTCCCTTCTGCTCACAGCGCTCCACCGTAGACTTTAGAAAGAAGGGGGTTCATGACACTTTTTAGCAGGTATTTATTTTAAGCACACGTTAAAAAGTATGTAGCTGTTATATGAATGTGGAGTATGCAGAATAGATTTGATAGTTATCATTATCCTCTAACCTACAGGCATCAGTTGCATCACTTCACTGTTTGTAATGATTCATTTAAATATCAAAAAAATACTTTTAAGCAAAGATGTTCTAATCATGCATTAAGCCATTTTCATTATTTCCAATTATTTACTTTTTTCTTATATGTAGTTACTTATGGGCTTAATTTTCTATTGAAAAAAAACTCCTTCACACTGCAAAAAACATGACGGTTTCATTATTGTGTGTTGTGCCAAGTACTGAGGTCTGTGTTTAATTTAGGTCACTCATGTTGTGAGTGCTGTGTATCTATGGCACAATAGCTGCTGTGTATCTATGGCACAATAGGCTACAGACAATAACAAAAAACTACTGTTGTTTACTTAAATGTTAAGGATACACTTTAAAGCATGGCTTACTTTGGTGGTGAATAAGTAAACTTTTAAACACACAGTTAAACATAATAAAACATTCAAGTGACAAAGATTAAGAAACAACGTTACTTCCACATAATTTGCATTTTACAGAACATGGTTAAGAGAATTTTATTTAGGCTATTTTCCCCCAGTATAGGGAAGTAATTTAGACATTGCTTTAATTAGATTACTGACAACTTGTTTTAGATGGTTCAGAATCTGTTATTTCTAAGTAACACGGGGACTTTACACTTGAGATATTTTGACCACACGGAGGAAAAACCGCAAATGTGGGTACTGGAACAAGCCCATGTATAAAGTACTTCACCTGCCACATCCGCCAACAACTCACACCCCACAGGAAGCCTGTTTGTTTACATCTCTGACTTTCATTGACCTGTAGATGGAGCCAGAGAATCTGGAAAGAACAGAGAGTCGGAAAGTAAATCCAGCCAATAATAACAGACACATCATAAGTACTAGTCACATCGAGACTTTATGATGAGATCATTTCATATGCTATTTTAAATGAATCAGTAACTAATATGATATTTTAAATAAACAAGTAACTAAAGTAAACTAAAACTACTAGCTGTGCGTTGCTTGTGTCTCGGGACTGACCTCTGCTGGTGAACACTATTTATTGCTAGAGGGAAACATGGCTGCCAACAACAGTATCGAGTGGAGGGCCGTGTGCGAGAAATTTCGCCTTGCCCAAGAGCTTTCCGAAATAGAGTCGAAAAAAGACCCCGAGAATAACCCTTTCCGATCGAAATACAAAGCCAGAGATCTGCTGAAGGAAATCCACTGTTCTTTGAAAAAGATTGAAATCGAGGAGCAGGGCGAGGCTGGGGATGAAGCGGACTGTGAGTCCAGCCAAACGGCGGATGGTGAGCCGGAGGATGGTTTTGAGAAAACGTTCACTGGAGACTCTGCAGCCGGCCTGAGAGCGGCCAGGCTCGCGGTGCTGCAATATCATCTCGGCGTGAACCACATAGAGACGGAGGAGCTGTCGGCTGGAGAGCTGCACCTCATGGTCTGCATGAAGCTCATTGACAAGTGCACCACAACACGGGAGAACGTCTCCTTATTTATACATGTCCGGGTAAATACACACTAACGTTACATGGATTATTATTTTCTAAAAAAGCCTGGTATGGCTCAATAAACGTGCTTATCTTGCTGGTTAACGTATGACGATTGTGTTTTTGACAGAATCAGCTCGGCATTTTGTGGGCGGGAAGAGATGAGATTGAAAAAGCACAAGGATTTCTGGAGATTGCCGAAACAATGTATTTGGTCTACATGAAAGAGGTGTGTTATGTGTGTTTGTTTGATTGTGATACGTTTCATTTAAAAACCATGTGAGCTTCAGCTGTCAAAGTCTTCCTTACCATCAACAACTGCATTTTGAGCGTCAGATGCGAGTTCCACATGACGTTGCTATGACGTATTGAGGTAAAGTTAGTTTTACATTCACACAGTCGGACTTTCTCCTAATAATATTTCACAAAAAATATTGTTTACAAATTCTGAATAGTGAAAATCATATTAGCAACCAATGACACTGAAAACCTTACCTAAATCTTTAGCACAGCCAAGAGCCTGGCACAGCCTTCACACTTGAATGAGTGAAATTTGGTAATCTGGGAGCTCCAGCTGTATTGATTAGATTTATCAATGTGTAAATCTAAATTAAACTATTTAATAACAACTTGAATCAGAAATTATGGCTTTATGATATTTAGCTGTACCCACAGTGGACCAGCAATTAAAATGGATCTACTGGAATGAGCTCTGGGCGCCATCTTCTGTCAAGATGCACAACCTTGTAAGTGTACACTATTGCAGTGCATTATGGGACTGAATGAGTGCACTTGATAATCACTAGCTGCGTCCCAAAGGCACACTATGCACTTATGCACTTACACACTCAACAGCATAGTATATGTATGTAGTGTTGTCCCAAATGGAACACTACGCAGAAATTCAAACCGCTTCCCTGATGAACTTTGACGGTTGCCAAAATAATGAAATAAATGACCAAACAACCACATAATACCTGCCGTGAGTATAACCTCATTCACTATCGGGAGGTGGTATAATCTCTCTCAGAGGAGAATTTTGCTTTCATAATCCAAAATAAATATATCCAACATGTGCCTCCGATGGCTCCGCCCCTCCCGCTACCATAAGTAAGGCAGCGACTGTGAAGTGCGTGAAGTGTCCATCATTACACACTTAATTTTATCTGTTGAATAAGTGCATCATCCGAGTAATTAGAGCGCACTTATTATTTTTAGAGTTTTCAGTGTGAACGCACTACTTACACTATTTATACTACAAAATGGCGTAGAATAGTGCATAAGTATGTGATTTGGGACGCACCTACTGTCTGTTTACTCAGATGGGGTATGTGCACACAAACTTTTAATTTCAGTCAGGCCCAGGGCTTCTGGTGAATTTTCATCCCATACAACAGATCTGATATCATTAAAAAACAAGGATCTTCAATGCCTAGCTGAGATAAGATATAAATTGGGTATCAGACCAAAAAAGAAGCACTGCATTTAATTATATTTTGCCACACCATGTCTTTAAAATATGGAAATTAATTTTACCCAGTATTTTCAATGGAGCGTCTGTGCTGGCCTGCTGCTAATGACGGCACCTGCGTTTAAACGGTCTCTTTTTATGCATTAACAACCAAATGAATGCTTAAGTCTAATAAAATGATTATATTTGAATTAACCTTATGAAATTGAAAATAGTCACATAAACCTGTCATCAGAAGTTCATCATTAGCTGTAAAACACTAGCTGTGCATACAGCCCAATCAGCCCCAATGATGTGGGGGCAGTGTTGCCAGGTAAAGCTGATTTTTCCAGCTCAAAAGCTGTCGGAAATGCACATAAAACTCCCAAAATATTATATTAAAATTTTATTTTAATTAATTTAAATCAAAATTAACCTGGTTACTTTAACTGTCATAATTTTTAACCATACAGTAACCAACACCTGCAGTCACAGAACCAGAACATAACTGGATCACATCGAAACACTGCCTTCCTCTCACCAACACACTGCACTTAATGTTAGAGTATGTTTTTACGAAACGGGGTATAAATTTGTCCTATTTGGTGTTTTAAATCCTTTTGAACATAATTAGGGGCTGCTTGTCAATCAGACAACGCTTCTGTTTGTTCTTGCTGTCAATTGTGGAAAAAAAAGATCAATATAATTGTTATGATAAAGTGCTGTGAGTTTAACTGCAGGCGCTGCGTAATGCGTGTGCACGCGAAGGCGAGTCAGATTTGTCCTTGGACTTTCTTTCCCCTCCTCTTGCGGGTGGGCCCACTCGGCTTGCACTATGTACCAGTCACTACTAACTGAATGGAGTAGGAGCACACAGTTATGTTTTGTTGAATATTAAAGTTGCATATAAAAGTTATGTTTTTTTAAACCTCCCAAATTTTGTCAAAAAATTTTTTCTTTTACCTGCACTATCAAATACAAACTGCCTAATTGGGCGGGAAATTACCCAATCTGGCAACACTGGTGAGGGATGATTTAGGACCTTGCTTAACGTCTGTGAATTTTCGTTGATATTGTGAGAGTCAGTTACTATTCGCGGAGAATATAGAAATCATAAGTGACATAACACTATATCTTCTCTTTCACAAAATTACTAGTGACTAACAAAACAGTAGAAGGTTTAAAAATAGTAGTATAAATAGATCAATCAAATCTATGTTTTAAGGGTAGACATGTTGAAGATTAGCTGCTGCAGATCTGAGTAATGGCAGAGCAGTAGCTTTAGCTATTGTGCTGATCTTGGCAAAGGGAGGCAGGTACGTTTTCCAGTGGCTTTGGCTCTATAAACTGAACAAAATGTGCTGAGTGGTTACTAAGACTGAAGCTGATAACCACTATATTAAACACCTTTAATAAAGGAGAAAGGTAAGTCATATTAAAATGGTAATGTGGAAATAATTTTAATAATTAAAAGCAATATACACAATCAAAATAAAAAATAAAACCGTAAGATGTTGTTTGTATCTTTAGATACAATATTTTGTAATATATTGATTTTATGTGAATTTACAGTATTCCATGACTCAGTTTTCTTTTTTTTTTTAATTAATTATCGATATGCCGTAGTTGCTCGTTTCTTATTGGCGTGACAATTAATTCTAACAAAACTAAAGTAAACAGCACTGAATTTTGCATAGATACACAAATTGGAGTACATTTACATTTTAAAAAATAGCTTTTTTTACCATGCATATTTATAATTCATATTACAGAGGTTTCTATAATAATGTCTGATTCACTCAACGATATGGGCTGAATGTAGCTGCATGAGCTTTTTGGTCTATTTGTGAATGTATTCATTAAATATTAATATAATACACAATTAGATTTTTTTCCATATAGCTCTTTAAAATTATTTTCCCTAAATTCTGTTATATTTATTTTACCAAATAACAATCATTTAGTACAGAGATGCCCAAAGTTGGCACAAGGTAACCTTTGATTCGGCCCGCCATCCCATCTGAAAAGAGAGGGAGAATGTTGGTGGTTGGGGCGAATGTCCTTGACAGATGTCGTCATTTTGAAATTTAAATTTAAAGTAATCTTTTGTTTCTTAGTTTAATTCCTGAGCTACAAAAAACGCAACTGAAGTTAAATGATTCAATTAAATGTTGTAAATGAATTAGACTTTTAAAAAGTAAATATTGTCACTTGACAAACAGTACATCTGACATCTACGAGCATATCAAAGTAAAGGCAGGTGCAGCTCAACTAGTGCATTCAACATTGAGCTCCATTGTGTTATAAATGGAAATGTTTATGTTTTTACTGTAAATAGCTTATTATAAAATGTTAAAAACAATGCTGCATTAGATATTAAATACAATTCGAATCAACGTTATCTTTTGTTTATATTATCGAATAAATGAGGCAATTCCCCTTGGCAAGTTTAATGTAACACAGGTTGGTATATTTTTAGCTCACAACCCTCAGTCAAGTTTTGTTTTTGACCCTTTATAGGAAAAAGTTTGGGCACCCCTGATTTAGTTTAAACAAAAATTCAATTATAACAATTGAATGTTTTTCCATTTAATACTTTTAATTGTTGTGATTCTACCCTAATTTTCTACAACACAAAAATCACAGGGCACTAATAGCCATTTTTGTCTCTCCTTATGCACATTATGCACATTAGGATGGTCAACCACCCCTGGATCTTCAAGACTTTTTTGTGCCAGAAGGAGAAGAATTATCCCAACAAGAGAAGATTAGAAGGTAACATCCCTCTCTTTAAATATACTCAATAAAATTACTATGAACCAGGAGTATTTTAACCCCTGTTTTCCCCATATGTGCTGAATAGGTTTGAAATGGCATATACGCACACGCTGTATTACCTGGCTCAAGTGTACAAGAATCTTCAGCAGTATGAGAGAGCTGCACAGTACTGTCACAGCACCCTACAGAGACAGCTGGAGTACAAGCAGTTTGCGCCTCTGGAGTGGGCCATTAATGCAGCCACACTGTCACAGTACTACATCACCAAGGTACAATTCATATACAGGCTGACTAAAAGAAGTATTGCAGTAATTAACAATTGTGTGGTCCATTGAGTTTATGTATCTCATTCGCTTCAGATCAGTTTTGTTAACATGCTTACACGGTTAACTATTTCCTGTATAATCTA